TACACACTCACGGCAGGAAGGCGCGCCTGACGAGCGTCCTCGACGCCGAGGGGCAGACCCGCACAGACCGCCAAGAATTTGTTGATGCTTTTGCCGCTTTCCGTGAGGCCTTATGCACTTTTTCGTCAGCGGCCGCGGGCGAGCGCGCCAGCGGCGCGTCAGGTCAAAGCGGGCTACGCAGAGACGAATTCGGCAGGAGCGGCGCGCAAGGCTACAGCTAACGCGGCAAGCCGAGGCCTCAATCAGCGGCCCAGCGGCAGATGAGACCTTATACGCGGAACGTCAACGTCCTGCACCGGAGGCGCCAGCTGCAACCGACGGAACGGCATGTTCCGACATCCCCCCAGTCACGGCCGACGAGGTCCAAACGCAGGTGAAGCGCATCAAAAGGGGAGAAGCCCCTGACAGCCGGGGGGCCAGCTCTGATGGAAGCGATTGCAGCTTTATACACAGATGTGCTCTGCAACGGCGAGGAACCGCATGAGTCGTGGAAGCATTCTCGAGTGTCCGTCCTTTTCAAGATAGGTGACCCCAGGGTGCCGCAAAATTATCGGCCAATCTCAATATTACCAATTCTGTACAAGCTCTACATGCTGATCGTGCACGACCGGCTACAGGTATATTTGGCACCGGAGCATTCCATAGACCAGGTTGGTTTCAAGAAGTATTCTCTTGCGACGATCATTTACTGACTTTGGCACTCTTACACGAAAAGTGTTGGGAGTTCGGAAAGGACTTAGGCGATGCCGCTTTTGATTTTGAGAAGGCCTTCGATTCTGTTTCGCATAACAGTATATGGATTGCGCTGCGTGCCCGCCATGTTCCTGAACCGTACATTCGAGCTCTGGCTCGTCTCTACCGGGGACAGACAGCGCAAGTCGTCTCAGACTGGACCAGCCGGACGTACAGACTGGAGCGAGGCACCCGCCAAGGATACCCAGTCAGCCCAATTCTTTTCAATGCGGTCCTGGAGCACATCATGCGCGACTTGAAGTTCGCGTGGAGGAAGAACTGGCGCGGCGTTCGCATAGGGAACGAGCACTTCACAAATTTACGCTTTGCTGACGACATCCTGCTGGTGGGATCTTCTCGCGCCCAGATCCGCCACATGTTGTGCGACCTTCAAACAGCAGCTGGGGAGTTTGGGCTCAAGCTGCACATGGGCAAGACGAAGATTCTGTCCAATGTAGAAGTACGACATGGGGTCCTGAGGCAGAATCAAGTCCCGGTGGGGGAAGGTCACGTCGACGTTGTCCCCTTCGACGGTGGCACTCTCTATTTGGGAAGGCTGGTCTCGTTTTCTGATTTACACGACGTCGGGCTGACTCACCGCTTCTCTCGTGGATGGGCAGCGTTTGGAAAATTCAAGAAAGAGTTAACCAACAAGCATTATCCGCTGCGTTGCAAAATGCGCCTGTTTGACACGACGGTGACTTCGTCCGTGCTCTACGGCAGCGGGTGCTGGGCGATGACGGTGGACATGACTCGCAGATTGCAGACCGAGGAGAGGAAAATGCTGCGGCGCATCGTTCAGACGCTGAGGAGACATTTCGAACTTGCCGATATGAGCGTAGAGCAAGAAAGCTGGGTGGATTGGGTTACGCGTGTCACCACACGGGCCGAAGGACTTTTCCGGCGAGCCGGATACCGCAGCTGGGGAGACCAACAACGGGGCAGAAAATGCCAGCTGCAAGGCCGAGTCCAGCAACGCGAAGACGGGCGCTGGTCCACCACGCTGCTGGAGTGGATACCAGAGGGCGTTCGCGTGACCAGGCGGCCCCGCAAACGTTATGCGGATTGATGAGCAAGTTGCGCTGTTCGCAACGCAGCGTCCGCCAAGCAGCACTGCTGGCATTTTTTTCGATGGCCCGTCCTCTCCCCTCCCCTGCGTCCCTTCCGGCCTCACGCGTCGTCTTTCTCGCTTTCTCTCGTTCCGTCGTCGTCGTTGTCGCTGTCGTGGTCGTTGTCGTTTGTGGCCACGTCGCGTGGGATAAGTCAGCGGCCACTTGCGCAGCTCGCAGCGCAGCATTTTCACCATCTTGCCAATGCACAGCATGGCATCTGTTGTGCCGTTCAGCGAGCCCGACTGCCCTGAAGGGGCACGGGCGCGGGACCACCCGCAGCGCTGCATCCGTTCCTGTCCTGTCTTGTCCTTGCGGAATAGAGAGTGGGGGAGGCATCCATCAAACCGTAGTTCTGGATTCGCCTGAGCAGACCCTGGTGTGAATCATATGTGGATTCGCAGTCCTTTCGAAGGCGGGGAAGGTGGAGGGGGAGGTGGAGGAGGAGGTAGAGGGGAGGAGGTGAAGGAGGAGGAGGGGTAGGAGAAGGAGGGTTCTGTTGAGTATTGTTATCTAGCCATCAGACATTCAAGAACGACCAACTTTGGCGAAACGAAGCCTATCTACCCCCAGGCCTGTCGTGAGCGACGAAGTTCACCTTGGTGGGTACCTACCTGAACTCTTGTCGCATGATACTCGTATGCCCCAGCTATCGCCTCTGCCTGCCGCGCAACCAATCGTATCCTCAGCCATTCCTTTCGGCGGCGCGCTTGGTGTGGACGTGAGAAGGGCCAGACCTTCTCAGAAGGTGGGTGGGCTTCTTAGAAGCCCTTTGGCCTTCTAGGAAATGTTGTTTGTATCCGTGGAAGGTTTCGAACATTTCGGGGGAAGCCAGGGGGACTTCAGAGCCTTCTGAGAAGGCCCGCCCTTCTCGTTTTTCCCCCAGTCTCGCCGCCGATCCTTGCACGAACGATCCCCAGCGTTGCAGCTGATGGTGCCTGAGCTGCTGCTTTCAGTCGGGCACCGAGGACCGGTGCAACTGTCCGCATCCCTGCACCGACACGCCTGGCAGTCACTGTCTTCCGTCTCGCACGAGCTGGCTTTAGCTTTGTAGCTGATATGCTTACTCCAGGTTCGAGTTCGGGCATCGGCAGTGGATGGTGCCACTGCCTGCCTATTCTAACCGCCAGGGTCTGATGTCTCCGCCTGCCTTCGCGCACGAGCTGACCCCACCGCTGTATCTGAGGAGGGCTTGCTCCTGCTGCAGCTCGGGCGCCGACAGCTGCCGATGTCGTTGCCGTTGCCCAGACCTCTCGCACCGGCAGGCCCTGCCGCCGCCGCCGGTGCTGCCTTTGCCTGCCTTCTCGCACCGACAGACCGTGCTGCCACTGCCTGTCTTCTTGTGTTGACAGTCCGTGCTGCCACGGCCTGCCTTCTGGCTCGAGCTGATCCCAGCAGTATTGTGGCCGATGACGTGAATTGACCTCGCCATCGGGCACCCAGGATCGCTGCTGCCACTCCCTCCCTTGTCACAATGACAGTCCCTGCTGCCACGGCCTTCCTTCACGCACTAGCTGACCCCAGCAGCCACTGTAGCTGATGCTGTGGTGTTGATTCGCCATCGGGCACCGACGACTGCTGCCGCCACTGTCTGCTCTGCCACACTGACAGACCCTGCTGTCACTGCCTGCCTTCTCGCACGAGCTGATTCCAGCAACCATATGGCTGATGATGTTTTTGTTTGCTCCTGCGCCACATGGCGGCGGCTGAGGTTCATGTCCACCTGCTGCCACTGCCTGCCTTCTCGCACCGACAGGCCCTGCTGCCGCTGGCTGCCTTCTCGCACGAGCTGACCCTAACAGCCCTGACGCGGATGGTGTTTTGTTCCTGCGCCTCCTTTTGCGGCGGCTGAGGTTGATGGTCACCCTGCAGCGATTGCCTTCCATGTCGCACTGGAAGGTCTGCCTTCTCGCACGAGTTGACCCCAGCCGCCATGTGGCTGATCACGTTTTGTTCCTGTGCCTCCTGGCGGCGGCTGAGGTTACTGGTCCACCTGCTGCCGCTGCCTGCCTTCCTGCAGCTGAAGACCTTGCTGCCGCTGCCTGCTTTCTCACTGAGCTGACCCAAACCGCCATGTAGCTGACGATGTCTTTCGCCGCTGTCGGGCAACCCCAACCGCTGCTGCCACTGCCTACCTTCTCGCATTGACAGCTCCTGCTGCCACATGGGGCACAGACAACCGCTGCTGTCACTGCCCGCTTTCTCGCACGAGGTTAGAACCCCAGCGTTTTTCAGCTGATGACGTTGGTTGATCTCCTGCGTTGCCGTCGGGTACCGACACTCACTACTGTCGCTGCTTGTGTTCTCTCATCGGCAGTCTCTGCTGCCATTGCCCTTTTTACCGCACGCACCGCTCCCAGCATTGTAGCTGGTGGCACTGTCCTTTTTGGCTGGCTCCTGCGCGGCCTGGCAGTACCTGCTACCAGTGTATGCTTTCTCGCACGAGCCGTTGCCAGCATTGTAGCTGCTGCCACTGCTGATTTTGGCTGGCTCTTGCTTGCCCTTGCAGCCTGTGCTGCTACTGCCTACTTTCTCGCACGAGCCGTTCTTGGCATTGTGTCTGATGATGCTGCTGACCCTGGCTGGCTCCTGCTCCTTCTCCCGCTGTTTATTGTCGCATTCTTGCAGCAACGCTGCGGCTGCCGGCTTCACTGCTCGTCAGGAGATGGAGAAGGGTGAAGGAGGATGGGGCAGAAGAGTGAGTGGCCCCTGGCGGCTGCGCGCGCGCGCCTGGTCGCATCATTGCCCCTGATGGTCATTGGGACCACACTTGTTTCTGCCGGCGGCCCTCGAGCACGTGGCCACTTCGAAATTGGCGCTCGAAACACACCCGCGCTCGCCCCGTGCAGGGATGGCCAGGAGGAGGAGGAGGAGGAGGAGGAGGAGGAGGAGGAGGACGAAGAGGAGGAGAAGGAGGAGGAGGAGGAGGAGAACGAGGAGGAGAACGAGGAGGAGAACGAGGAGGAGAACGCGGTGGAGGAGAAGGGGGAAGGAGCAATGCAACGACGATGATGAAAATGATGATGACGCCGTCGGCAGCAGTCAGCCACAGAGGCCGCTTGTGAATCTCTCGCTCTGGGTGCCCTGTGGAAGGAGGAGGCTGAGGAGGTGGAGGGAGGGTGAGGATGATGGAACATGGGGGGTCGCAGACACCGCCAGGCGCTCGGAGGTTTTCGTCATCCAGTACGCACCTCCGCCGGCAGAAGCTCCCGCCGCGCGCTCCGGGCGCGGCGAGCGCGGGCCCCGCCGCCAGGCGCTCTCTGACAAGGGGGCTGCCGCCACCTGCGGGGGCCAGCGCCTCGTCCTCGCCTCCCTCCGGCTGGGTGCCGTGTGGTGGAAGGCTGTGCGAGGGCCAGGCGAACCCTGGAGTTCCGCTCAATACCGCTTCGTCGAGCTTAGTTGGGCTTCATCGGGCTTAATTTATTGCGTCGTGTGTCAATGCGGCTTCACGGCCCCCTGATCGCTTTCACAGTTCAGATGAATACCTCTCAGGAGCTGCCTCCCAGCACCAGTCCGCCCTGTTCCCACAGTACTCTTTTCCGTCATGGTGAGTACATTTAGGCAGGCCAGCATTCATTGCGGTTCATGTCCCATGTTCTCGGCTTGCATCCGCATGGATGGGTGAAGCTCCGATATTTCTAGGGGGATATATGTCCTCTATCTTATGCGTTTCCTCTGCGCCCTGCATTGTCTCTCTGGCGCACTGGCCCACCTCTTATCTTTCCCCCCTCCTTCAAGCTCCTGCTCTTCATCCCCCTCCTCGCCCCTGCTCATCCGCTGTTTTCTTGTCCCTGCTCGGTTGGGCACCGCAGCGGCATCCGTCATGCAACGCACTGCTTATGGAGCCTGTTGCCAAAGTGTGCCGCATGGTTGAGGTCGACCCCGCGGACAAGCTGAAGAAGAGGCTGACGCTCAAGCGGATCGACCGCAGCAGGGACGCTCTATCCTTTCTGCACCCTGTCTTCTTGCCCGAGCATCGCCCCCTGGCGTCTCCTCCGCCTCTCTCTCTCTCTCTCTTTTTTTTTTTCTCTCTCTCTCTCTCTCTCTCGCTCTCTCTCTACAGTGGAGCCCCATGCCAAGAAACACCCTGCTCGCCTCCAGGGTGCCCTGGGTTTCTTGGGTTTCGATGGTTTTGCCGTGGAAGGCGTGACGTTCCCACACCGGTTTTGCCGTGGAAGGCGTGGAATGGACGTCCTGGGGTTCCAGGGTTGGGTTTCTTGTGGAGGGTTCCTTGTGGACTGGCCTCCACTGTACGATACACATCAGCGGATATGACCGCACGTCCGCGCCGGCGGCGGCGCCGCGTCCAGCAGCGCCCCCGGGCGACCGCCACGGCGAGCTTCGGGCGGATCGGCGCTCGCCACTCAGCGACTCGGCGGGTCGGCAGCATGCCCCGGCCCCGCTGCCTCTGCGAGGCGAGGATCGCGAGCTCATCCAGCAGCCCAGAAAGTCTTCAGGTCGACGCATCCCCACGTCTCCTCCTCCTCCTCCTCCTCCTTCTCCTCCTCCTCCTCCTCCTCCTCCTCCTCCTCCTCCTCCTCCTCCTCCTCCTCCTCCTCCTCCTCCTCCCCCCCTCCTTCTCCTCCTCTTCGTCCTCCTCCTCCTCCTCGTCCTCGTCGTCGTCCTCCTCTTCCTCCTCCTCCTCCTCCTCCTCCTCCTCCTCCTCCTCCTCCTCCTCCTCCTCCCCCTCCTCCACAGCGCATGGCAGCACGGACTTCCTCGCTGTGGGCCTGCATCGTGCTCCCTTGCACGGGGCTCCTCTTTCAGCTGCAGCCCCAGGGGTGGCAACAGCAGCGCTGATGACATGGTTTGCTGACGGGTGGGCCGTGCCGTACAGCAGACGATCCGGCGCAGTGGGATGACAGGACAATTCCACATCAGGGGCAGCTTCTTCCAGCACAACTCGCCCTTCCCAGCGGCGCTTGAGGAGGCCGAGCTTAGGGACAACCTGTTCAAGCAGCGCCGCGTAACCGGCATCTCGGCCAGCCTGCGCCAAGATGCCATTGAGCGAAGTTTGCCGTGCGGACAAGTGTGGCCCAATGTTGCAGGAAACAGCGTGGTCGCTGACAACGTCCATGTCCTTTCCTCCCGCGTCTGCAGCATCTTGTCGCTTTGGCGTGCGCGCTAGATGGGCATGGCGATCTTGAACTTGATGGCCATGATATGAAGCTGTCGTCTTTCACGTGGGGCCACCACGAAGCTAGGAACTCGGTGAGCCATCTGCCAGAGACAGGGCCGGAGCAACTTGCACGCCTGGCGCGATCCCATTCGGAGTCCGCAGTGACTGGGATGCTGCTGACTGCAACATATCATACAGTGCCGCATGGATCTTGCGAGCCTGGCCCCGCACCGGTGCCTCTAGCGCAATACAGTGTTCAGGCGGAGCACCGCTGACGACGACACCATCGGATTAGACGTGGACCGAGCGCTGGGCCAGTGCGTCCAAGCAAAAGGCAACGCCATCGAGATCAATGGCCGCAGCGATGCGCTCCTGGTTTTACCCGCAGAACAGCAGCTTCTGCGACGCTGAAGGCATGTACTGGGACGCAGCGCATCAGTGAGCAGAGGCAGCCACGTGCACGGTAACTGTGGGCTGGGGATCGAGCTTCATCAGCATGTCGTCCATGTGCTCCAGGTGCATGGGCGTACCTCTGACAGAACATGGAGACGCAGAGTATCCGCGCAGAAACCGCCAAAGGGCACGCCGAAGTCCCAGGCAGAAGATGCCGTTGGTACAGGCCATCCCGTATTTCGAACGAAGCCCAGGAATAACACCATATGCTGTGTGGACAGGCGTTCCTTCAGCGCCCCACACATTTATCAATCACGGTGCGATCTCCAGGAAGTTTGAGATGACCTCCATGATTTCTGACCTGGAGACCTCCACGAAAGCATTGCTCATTTCGAAAGAGCATAATGCATCATCTGGGCACAGCCAGGCGACTGCCTTGCCACTGCGCAAGAAAGATTATGGTCCGGCTTGATGCCGATGCCGAGTTGGGTGTCCGAGAAGAGCTAGGTAATTTTCTCATGCAAGACTTCCTGAAGGCACGCCCCTGGCAAGGAGAGCAATGTTTCTCCAATCATGATCGGCCAGACGTCTTCACCACCATCACCCTTTCGAAAAAGGATTCCAAGAACAGTGCGCCAAGGCGCCGCCGTGATCTCGGGAACGGTGCCCGAAACCTACGCTTGCGCCCAAGACGTCAAAGCCGCCAGCCCAGAATCGATGGAGGCGATTTTCTTGACCCTGGAGTTTCGCCAAGCACTCGTGCCAGAAGCTTTGCAATCCGCACTCTTGGCAATGACGGCGCTGGCGATCTTCTTCTGCATCGCGCGGCCCGCTGCGACTGGCCTGGGCACTGCGCAATGGTGTCGCGCGCCGGGCCTACGAGGAACTTGCCCTTTCTGGGGTCGACCGTCTCAGGGCTAGCCGGATCTGCTGCTTCCGAGTGCTCGGCGGCCTGTCTTGGCATCGCCGTGCGTGACCTTGAAGATGCAAGACTCGAGCTGCTTACGCTGTAGTTCATTGGCGTCGTCAGCTGCGGCCACGGCCTGCCTGGTAGCAGCGCGCGCTCTGGCCTTTGCTGCGTCTGCGATGGCATTACTCAACTGCCTGACGCCACTGGCCCTGCTCGAGCAATTTCAGCCGGTGCTTCGCGACGGGCGAAGCCTGGTAAGTATCCTGCGGAATACTCGCCGCCATGCCATGGATGTCCGCCGGCTCCCGCAGGTCATGGGCGACAGCGAAGTTGAAGTGGCGCAGGAATGGCGAGGCGCTTTCAACGCGCCCTGCATCTGTCCCTGGCCGGCCCAGCTCGGACAGGAGCCACTCGAGCGCCGTCGCGGCGAGTCGGCTGTATCTTTGGACGAGGCCTTTCGGGATAGGCAGGTACGAGGTCAATGGTGCCACACCTGGGATGCTTTTCAGAAGCGTTAGCATGCGGGTGACGAAGGCGTCGCTGTGGTCCCCGCCAGCGCCCGACCAAGCAAGACAGGTTGGATAATCAGCAGCTCCGGGATGCTTCAGGGCGTCGGGAGACTGATCGTGTCCAGGTGCAGGTGCCAGTGGAAGACCCTGGGCCTGGATAGCTCCTGTTACACCTGGTGGCCAGCGCGGTTGGGCTGGAAGCTGAGCGCCAGCCTGGGAGGACGCTGGGCCAGCATGGGGGTCAGCACCAAGGAGCTTGCCCCGCCGCCAGCAATTCGGACTAACCAGGCGGCTGCAGGTGCTGCATGTCCACATGCGCGCACGCGCACCGCAATGCACCTTGCAGCGGTCGCAATCACAACCGCGAGAAAACGATATCAATACTGGCGTCGAATCTGATTGGCACCCCGTCCAGCACATGTACTGTCTGTGCCTTGGCTGGGGAACGGGGGGGGGAGACGCCGCCTTCAACGGGCGATGCTGGCCCCGGAGCGGCTAGAGCGGCAGTGACAGTAAACAGCGCGTCGCGAGCGCAGAGCTCCGCAGCTGCGCTCCCAAGCGCAGCGCCGGGGTGCGTGGCAACGCCTGCGCCGCCGCTGGCGGCCGCTGCTGCCTCCTCTGCGCCGACCTCTTCACGAACGCGCCGAGGACCAGAACTTTCTCTTGCTCCTCCGACCGCGGCGCAGCTGCTGCACATCAGCACGCTGCACGGCGGGCAGGCCTTCGCTTCACCTCCTCGTCCCAAGCCGCCCCCGCAATTCTCTTCCTCTCTCTCGCTCCATCTGTCTCTCTCGCGCTCTCTCTCTCTCTCTCTCTCCCACTGTCTCTTTTTTTTTTTTTTTCTCTCTCTCTCTCTCTTTTTTTCTCGCTCGCTCTCGCTCCTTCTCTCCTTCTCTCTCTCTCTCTATTCTGCCTCGTTGTCTCCTTTCCCAGCGGCCACGCACGGCGTCTGCGGCACCCATCCCTCGCTCCTGGACATTCTGCGTGGCGACGCGCTGGGCTGGAGCGGGGCCGTGCCCTCGGCGGCCACCTGGCGTTGTCCTGGTCACGTGGCCGTGTCTTCAAGGTGTGGGAAGGAGTAGCAGGAGGGGAGGAAGACGAGGAGAGGAGGGAGGGATGCCTATCCCCGAAACACCTCCCCGCAGATGTGTTCCCGCGTTCTGCCCCCCCCCCGCCCCTCCCCCCCTCAAACTGGACTGTCATGCTTGGTCACGCCATGCTGTAGTGTGTACAGTGCTAAGCGATGCGATTCAATTCCAACTTGTGCCACGGCATGTCATGCTACCCAATACTGTGCTATGATATGCCATGCCGTGCCGTGCCAAGCATGTACGTATTGGTATTCAAATGTTTGAAAAGCTGTCAGATCATGGCATGCTAGGCGGTGCTATGGTTTGAATTGCAATGCTGTGCTATGCTTTGCATTGGATGGCGTCTCATTGATTTGCACCTCAATGTTTTGCATTGCGCACGTGCGCTTCCAGCAAATTATGATCCCTAATCGTGGCCGCGCCAGGTTCAGTTTTTTCGGCTCTCTTGCTCCTCCTGTGCTTTCCCAGCCGCCTCGCTTTCCTGCGAGGACGTTTGGGTCGAGATTCTGACGAAACTGATCAAGCTGCTGCACGACGAGAAGGACCTGGTGCACGCATGTGAGGTATTCTAGAGTTGGCCTCGTATTGCGGTATTGAGGAAGCTAACATCCTCACTCGGTGGAAGCCAGCAGGGAGCCCGCAGAAGCTGGCCGAAGTACAGCGATGCGGTTTGTTGCCGCCAGAAAATCGGCAAATGCAGACGGAAACACCATTTTCCCTCCCAAGAAAGAGCAACACAGGTACACCGAGGGCTTCTGGAGTCTGTTATATGTTTGCGTCGGTAGCCATGCGGTGCTATCTGTATGTTTGCTCCGATCTCCCAGGAGGCATCCTCAGACATCGCACCCTCCTTTTTCTAGCGCTTGCTGCGGCCAGACGGATGGCGCAGGCAATCAAGAAAGGGACTTGGATGCGGCGATGAGGTTGAGTACGTTGCGAAGGAAGACGAGGAGGACGACGACGGGGAGGCGAACGCGGCGGCCGAAGATGCGGAGAATGAGGTGGGGAAAGCATGAGCAGGAGAGGGGATTACAGAGAGGAAGCACCTCCTGCGGGGAATTGCGGAGGTATGGTTGAGGAGATGGGGACAGGTCGGGGCTTGAGCATTGGAGGCGCGACCGTGAGCAGACACGGGGAGGTTGCAATCACGACCAGCATTAGGGACCGCAGTGCCTTGTCAGGGTTGCCCTCGCACCCCCTGCGCCCCCCGCCCGTGTTGACCCGACGGCGCCGCAGTTGGTTCAGCATGGACGTCCGAGGGTCGTGCGCTTTTGGCTCGCATCCCGACTCTTCATTTCTTGTAGTGCAGGCGCCCTTCACATCTTGCGTTCTTTGCCACCGTGGCAGCAATGGGCTCCTGCCACCAATGCCGCTTGCACCCCCAGGCCACCCTAGGGCCTAGGGTAGGGCCTCGGGTAGCTTGCCCCCGCCAGGGTCTAGTATGAGGAGGAAGAGGAGGAGGATGACGAGGAGGAGGAGGAGGAAGAGGAAGAGGGGGAGGGGGAGGGGGAGGAGGAGGAGGAGGAGAAGGAGGAGGAGGAGGAGGAGGAGGAGGAGGAGGAGGAGGAGGAGGAGGGGGAGGGGCAGGGGGAGGAAGAGGAGGAGGAGGAGGAGGAGGAGGAGGAGGAGGAGGACCAGTGGAAACCCAAGAGTCATCAACGATGTTGGAATTCACCCTCTCTCCAAGCTCCCTCTTCGCAGGCCCCTACAACGGTTCATTTCCATTGAGGGGATTGCTTCGGTGGAAGACAACAGTTTGAAGGTCCTGAAGTTTGCCAACACATGGTTCTTGGGTTTTTAACCCCACGTATCAACGTGACTGCTGCGTCTTGACGATCCAGAATCGTGCCAGAACGCCTTTTTGGGCTTTCAACACAGCGAATCAACATAATTGTTGCGCCCGCATAATCCTGAATCCTTCCAACACAGCATTACTGGTACGTTGATCATGGGAATCCGTGATACCCTTGCAATTGTTTCAAACGAATGTGCGCGGCGATAAGGCGCGAGCAACATGTTGAACAGGAACCGCCCTCAATCCGTGAAGCTCTTGTGCTTTTTTACACGAGTGTGCGCCGCGCTAAGGCGAGAGCAACATTTTGAAAACCATCCGCCCTCAATCCGTGAAGCTCTTGTGAATTTTAAGACGAGTGTGCGCCGCGCTAGGGCGAGAGCCACGTTTTGAAGACCACCCGCCCTTAATCCGTGAAGCACTTGTACAGTTTAAAACGAATGTGCGCCGCGCTCAGGCGAGAGCCACATGTTGAAAACCACCTACCCTCAATCCGTGAAACTCTTGTAAGTTGTTAAAACGAATGCACGCGGCGCTAAGGCGAGAGTTACATTTTGAAAACGACCTGCCAATCAGTGAAGCTCTTGCACAGTTTAAAGCGAATGTGCTCGGCGCTAAGGCGAGAGCCTCATTTTGAAAGTGACCCGCCGTCCATCTGTGAAACTGTTGTCACTTTTGAAGCTTCAGAGTCATAGATGGTGAGGAAGTCTCAGTCGAAACGCCCGGGCCGCCCTAAAACATTGCCTCGAAGTGCGACAGGGAGGAGTTATGTATAAGGAAAGGAGAAGGAACGGAGGAGGAGGAGGAGAAGGAGGAGGAGGAGGAGGAGGAGGAGCAGGATGAGAAGCAGGAGAAGGAGGAGGATCGGCATGTGGAGGGCGAGGGAGGAGTCCGCCAGCACAGCACAGACGTGAACGGGTCCCTGAGAAGGGGAGGGCCGAACCCAGAGTCCTGTACCGCACTCGACGAAAGGGGTCAGCATCTTTTGGCCGTCGGCCTCGGGATAGCCAGCAGGTCTCGAGCCCGTGAGCACCTCGAGCTGAGACGCCTCGTGCACACGTGAGACCACATCGGAATTACTCGAGCGTCTCTGTTCCAGATGGCCGCGAGCACATGGCGCACATCGTATGCGAACAGCTTTCCGTCCTGCGCATGCGGATGGGCAATTTGCGGATTATGTGCTGCTGCACCTCTGCCCATTTTCAAACTAGGACCAATGCCGCAGCTGATGCTTGGAAGCTGCCTGGCGCTCCGGGCTCGTGACTTTGTCTGCCCTTGACACACGGCTCGGAACCGTGGGCAACCTTCACATCCATATATGCCGGATCCTTGACTTTCATTGCGAGCTACGAGGAGGAGGAGGAGGAGGAGGAGGAGGAGGAGGAGGAGGAGGAGGAGGAGGAGGAGGAGGCGGAGGCGGAGGCGGAGGCGGAGGCGGAGGCGGAGCGGAGGCGGAGGAGGAGGAAGAAGAAGAAGCGGAGTTGGAGGAGTTGGATGAGGAGGAGGAGGAGGAGGAGAAGGAGGAGGAGAGGGAGAGAGAGAGAGAGAGAGAGGAGAGGGAGGGAGGGAGGAGGGAGGGAGGAGGAGGAGGAGGAGGAGGAGGAGGAGGAGGACGAGGAGGAGGAGAGGAGGAGGAGGACGACGAGGAGAGGAGGAGGAGGGGAGGAGGAGGGGGGAGGAGGAGGAGGAGGAGGAGGAGAGGAGGAGGAGGAGGAGGAGGAGGAGGAGGAGGAGGAAGAGGAAGGAGGAGGAGGAGGAATTGGAGGAGGAGGAGGAGGAGGAGTTGGAGGAGTGGGAGGAGTTGGAGTTGGAGTTGGAGGGAGTTGGAATTGGAGTTGGAGGAGAGGAGGAGGAGGGAGGAGGAGGAGGAGGAGGGAGGAGGAGGAGGAGCTGGAGGAGGCGGAGGAGGAGGAGGAGGAGGAGAAGGAGGAGGAGGACCATGAGGAGGAGGTTCATTGCTCATATGGGGAAAGAGTTAAGGGGAGAAGGGAAATGAGAGGAGTATCCATCTGATGAGAACTTCTTGCTCCCCGCACGAGGGAAGCCAACTCGTGCGGGTAACAGGACGAGCAGGAAGAGAAGCAGGAGGAGCAGGAGGAGGAGGAGGAGGAGGAGGAGCAGGCGCAGGAGGAGGAGGAGGAGGAGGAGGAGGAGGAGGAGGACGAAGAGGAGGCCCCGCCTTTGGGGCCTTGTTGGCCCGTGGTGGGGCCTTGGGGGCGGCCGAGGCCGTCTCGGGTCCATCCTTTGGAGGTCTCTTGAGGGCCGCATTCGGCTGTCGGAAGTTCGAAACGGCGGGAACGCGACAACTATGGACGCCTGTTGGGAATCAGCATGGCGCCAGCATTGCAGAGCGGACTTCGTTCGGGAAACAATCGGATGGGTCCAGAGTGTCCTGGATAATGTCGTTCTGGATGTCGAAGTGCATTTCGCGCGGATTTTTTTCTGGCCAGGAACGAAGACTACCACACATCCACGCGAAACTCACTCTGTGTTTCGCTCGCCGTTTCGGAGATTTGTGTTGACAGAAGTCCACGCAAAAAGTCCGCTGCAGCGCGTCTGCAAGGTCGGTGCAGTGAATTTTGGCCTTTGGAGGTCCACGTGGAGCCCTCTTTGAGCGTCTTGGGGGCCTTTCAAGGCGGCCGTCTCGGGCCGTCTTGGAGCAAGACTGATCCGTCTTGGGCCATCTTGGAGCCATCTTGGCCTTCTTGGGGGCCATTCTGAGCGCCTTCGAGGTCATCTTGGGAGGCATCTTGCCCGCCTTGGAGGCGCAGGATCGTCCTTTCCGTTTTTCTTCCGCGTGGCCGGCTGGAGGACCAGCCGAGACACCATTGGAAACCTTCTGGAAGGGTTGGAACCATTAAGCTCGGTGCGCCAACCGTCCCTCCTGCAAGCAACCCGGGGCGGCAGATCTAGTGGCTTTCGGCTCGGCCCAATCCGCCACCGCGCCTGGGTTGTGGATTAGAGTCCGCTGGGATGCCTTTTGGGGTCTCCTGGGATGCCCCTTTGGAAGCCGCGTGGCTGCTTCTTGGGGCCTCTGGAGGCCTCGTAGGGGCCTACGTGGCGCCTCTCGGGGGACTCTTGGTGGCCTGTTCTGGGCCTCTTGGATTCTTCTTGGCATTTTACAGCCGGTGACGCTGTCTCAGCAGTCGGGCCCCGCCGCTCGATCCTCGAACTCCCATTGCCTATCTTGTTCTGACAGTGCGCACGCGTTTGTACATACCCGCATGTCTCTCTCCATCTATCTACATACATATATATATATATACACAAATGTATATGCATACCCATCCCAGGGATGTGGCGTTCGGGCGAGGGGTGATAGTGGGATGGGGGAGCTGGGGGAGAGTGCTTGCCTTTACACGTCCTTCGCTTCGGTGCCATCTCTCATCCCGGTCTGTGTGCGTCCATGCTGGAGAGCGCGAGGACGCCAAAAAGAGGGTCAAGGTCTGAGTCGACGTGGCCGTTTCCCTCCGCTGACACTGCAGCGGGGTTTGTGTGATGTTCGCGCTGGAAAAGAAGAGCGCGGCGGATTTGGGCATTCTGGGACAGCAAAGAATGATGAAGGAAGGAGGGAGGGATAATGGAGGCGACAAGGATGAACACATGGAGCAGGTGGTTGGCAAGGCGAAGGAGGCGGAGGAAATCTCAGGGTGAGCAATGAGGAGGAGGAGGAGGAGGAGGAGGAGGAGGAGGAGGAGGAGGAGCAGGAGGAGGAGGAGGAGCAGGAGGAGGAGGAGGACCAGTGTAACACCGAAAACACATCAGCGATGTTGCAATACACGTTCCCTCCAACTTCCAGCGTCACGGGTCCCTACAATAATAGATTTTCGTTGCGGGAAGTGGCCCATTAGAAGACAATCGTCTGAGAATCCTCAAGCGTGCCAACGGACAATGCTGGGATTTCGACGCCACGGATCAACGTGACCGTTGCGTCTTGACGCTCCTACCTCGTGTCAGAACATCATTCTTGGGACTTCACTGCGAATGCACGTGACTGTTGCGTCTAAGCCATGCCAGAACATACATCCTGGGGCATCAAGAATGTGCGCTGTAAGACGAATGTGCGAGGTATCTTGGGACATCACCACACGAACTGTTGCAAACTTGTAAGACGAAGGTGCGCAGTAAAGCGAGAGCCACATGTTGAAAGGACCCGCCCTCCATCCGTGAAAGACTTGCAATGTTTCAAGACGAATGTGCGGTGCGCTAACGCACGAGCCACATTTTGAAAAGGACCCGCCCTCCGCCAGTGAAGCTCTTGCAATATTTGAACAAGAACGTGCGCGACGCTCAGGCGAGAGCCACATTTTGAAAAGGACCCGCCCTCCACAAAGTGAACATGGTGCACATGTTGAATAATAATGTGCGCGGCGCTAAGGCGAGAGCCACATTTTGAAAAAGACCCGCCCTCCATCCGTGACACTGTTGTACATGCCAACCTTCAGGGTCAGAACTCGTGATGAAGTCTCAGGCGAAACGCTCGGCCCGCTCTACCGACACGCTTGGTGGGTGCGGCAGGGAGGATACAAGCAAACGGGATGGAGGAGGAGGGGGAGGAGGAGGAGGAGTAGTTGCTGGCGGATGAGGATGAAGAGGAGTTGGAGGAGGAGGAGAAGGAATAATGACCAATGAGCAATGAGTTTTTTGCAACATCAGCGCCTGAGGGAAAACACCGCCACCTTCCTGTCAGAGTCAAGACGGCAGCAGCGGCTGCAGAGCAGGCGGCTGGACAGGCAAATTCTGCTGACGGGTCCGATTGTTTCAGGCTGAGCTCCCCTAAACAGCTGACTGTCCACCTTCCTGGCTCCTCGGCCTCCCCCACTCTGCTGTCTTTGCCTCCCTGCCTGTTCTCCCTTCCTCCTGCTGTTGTGGGTCTTATTGTTGTTCACATTGGCACGGTGGCCGCCTGACCACCATACCCGGAACAGTTTTGAACTGCGCGAGGTCATCCTCGACCATTTTGCATCAACGTGTCCGCATGGGGCTGTCTGGCTTGGAAACATTGTCAGGCTTTTAGTTTGCGTAGTCGTGCACGGAGCTTGGGCTCAGATGCACGGATTGGTGTTTCTTTCGCCTCCTTCGAGCTTGAGTGGATTGACTCTGGGGCGGAGTTTCATTTTTAATTGTTCTTCCAGTGTTCGTCGCCGTCATTCCCCTCTGCTTTCCTCCTTCTCCCAACTGCTAGACGACACGGCAGCCTCCCTGAAGGCAACGAGTACCGCCGCTGGTGGGAACACCAGCTCGCCAACATGGCGCGCGACGTGTGCCGACACGCGCCACAGACGTGAAATACAGAACGGGTTAAATTGACGTGTCTAATTCTGCGCTGTTTTGCGTGCCCGAGGACCCTTCGGGAAGCAGTTGGGCTGGCCCAGCCCCCATGGGCTCGAACTCCCTGAGCTCAGAAGCCACACGGAGCAGCACACGCCCAGGATGTTCGTCGCCCTTGACCTGCGAGTGGGGAGGCTCGGCAGGGAGGAGGATCGACGAGGCCCTCGGCCGTGAAATCAACAGACTGCAGGGCGTCGTTCGAATCCCTGGGATGCCGAACCCTGACGATGCGGTTCCCACTGAGCCTGCAACCCGGCATGCAGAGGTCCGTGAGCACAGATACCTGCGGAGGGACATTTCTTTTTCAAACCTCGCACTCGCCCCCCGAGGAATGAAGCTTGCATCTGTCGCTTCTGCCCCGGCGTTGGGCTGGGTCGGGCCAGGGCACATGGGGGCTGACGGCAAGGCGGGGGGCACCGCGTGCGCGCGCAACGCCTCCCCCAGCCTCTGCCGCAACATGCAATGCCTCGATAAGACGGGGGAGGGGGCCCGACTCGCCGTCGGTTGCGCAGACGGCCGCACATGAGCCGTCTGAGCAGTCGAACGCAGCAGCCGTGGCGTGTCCCAGCCTCCCTGAGGTCTTCCACGCCGAGCCCCCTCGGGCCCGCAGGGCCAGGGCACCTGGAGGCGGGAGGGATGGGGAAGCGAGACCCTCGGAGACACCGAACCCTGCCCCCCCCCACCCACATACATACACACCCACACACAGACACACACAGACACACAGACACACAGACACACACACACACCCACACACACCCACACCCACCCACACCCACCCACACCCACCCACACCCACCCACACCCACACACACACCCACACCCACACACCCACACCCATACCCATTCCCACCATCACCCCCACCCCCACACCCACACCCACACCCACACGCACACGCACACGCACACGCACACACACGCACACGCACGCGCACATGCACACGCACACGCACACGCACACGCACGCACACACACACACACACGCACACGCACGCGCACATGCACACGCACGCGCACACGCACACGCACACGCACACGCACACGCACACGCACACGCGCACGCGCACGCGCACGCGCACGCGCACGCGCACGCGCACGCGCACGCGCACGCGCACGCACACGCACACGGGCAAGTGGCTTGGACAAGCGCCAGTGGTTCACTACCAACTGACAATCATAATCCATCGGAATGGGCCCGCACATCATACACAAGACAGTACCGATAAATCCCATCCTCCGCCCCCTGAGGCGCCTGGGGCCAAGGGGGTTACACAGGCCCATGCGCAGAAGCCAGAGTGTCGCCCGCGGGAGAAGCTATCGCGTCCCCGAAGCCAGCCTTCAAGAGTTCCCGAATGGGCTGCCTATAACACAAACCGTCTATGAACAGGTGTCCCGACAACGCAATGCGGTCGATACTGTCGCTTTCCGGAACCCCTCCCCCCTGGGAGCATGCACCCGAAACACGATCCCGGAAGGAATCTCTGGGACACACGACACATTCTCGTGCGATTCGGCATTCGACGCTTCCTAAATCATACGTGCACTCTTATCTCACATAATCTCCTCCCCCTCTACTTGACATGATGGGCAACGCCATATCCTCAGGAGCAGGGTGTCGGGATGCTCGCCACGCAGCAGGCATGTCGTAGGATCGAGCTGAGAACCGAGAACACTGGCGCCTGGAACTCGAATCCAGACGCCGTTGGTGGTGACACTGCTGATGCAGCCCCGCTCCTTCGGAGTGAAACGCTTGGAGGTGGAAGTCGCCTTCTTGATGTCGACTCACATCCAACCCTGCACACCCTTCTTGCGAGCAACATCCCCCTCGAATCCCCTCGAAACAGCCTGGCGGAAAAGCGTACCTACAAGCTGAGGGGAGTGAGCGTGAGAGATGGGCACCCCGAAGGCGTCCGTGCGCCCCTCGAACGAGTTCATCGACCATGCGATGCGAGCGAGCGAAAAGTCAGGGGCCATCATGGGGCCCACAACTCTGCGCCAGGACGATCACTCCTTACGGCCAACTCCTAGGCGCTCCTGAGCTCCCACAGGGCAGCGTGTAGTCGACAACTCCCGTGTGCAGGAGCCACACCTCTTTAGCAAAACGGATGATGGGTCCCACGGGCCCGAACCAGGCAGTGCCGATTTCTAAAATCATGAGCCCCGAGAGCGATCGCATCCTGCCGAAGTTTCGATCGTAGAAGCACCGACCCTCATAACTCTATTTTTTCCCCTGCGCGGTTGCGCGGCGAACATAATCGGTTTATGTTTGTTTCGCGTCCAGGCGATGCTGCGTGGCAGGTGTGCCACATTATTATTTGTTTGCGGCCAGTTGCGTTGACACGCGACGAGTACGGTGTAATCTCATTATGTCCGCCCCCTTGCCTTGCGATTTCGCCGCCCCCCCCAAGGTGTTGCCACGTGGCGGGCAGAGTCGACTATCGATGACTTCCGAAGGAACTCGAACAGAGCCGACGGATTCCTGTGGAGTCCTATGGATGTTCCACGTGCGCGTGAGGATTCATTGTGGTTTCTCTGATATTCCAATGGGTTGGGGATTTCGTGGTGACACAGGAGCGGCGGGAAACGGGGAGGCAGACTGGGTCCAAAGGGAGAGATGGGCGAGGGAGGTTGGAACCGACCTTCTATTCCCCACCATGCTCTGAGTGTGCTGGGCCGGACGGATCTCCCAGAACATGGCGGGGAGAAGTTCGACGCGGGGTGAGTGACGTTGTTGGAGGAGCCTTGACGGGTGTCGGACGGGCGAGAAGGGGGGGCGGGCGAGGGATGAGGTGGCCTCTTGTCGCGCGCGCAAGAGGAGGGGCATTCTGTGTCGTTTGCCCCCCTCCCCCCCCCCGCGCTGCCTGGTGACATGGAGTGGTGCGCCAGTTGTTTCCACCCACCTTGCGCTGCCAAGTGCCTGGGTGGAATCGGGTAAGCTTGTTCCCCCCCCCCCCCCCGCGATGCCACGCGGCGAGTAGAATCGGGGGTGGACAGAATCCCCAACAGTGACACGTCGATTAGTGAATTGTCCGTTTTCGATTCTCGAGAGGGCGCCGCCTCCGTTATTTAATCGCTTCGCTCATTCCGCCTGCCCATATTGTCGCACCGTTGTGGGCTAG